TGGGCTCTGCTGAGTGCTCAGCTTCACTTGACCTGGGTTCAAGGTGCCATTGCTAGAGATAAAACAAAACAGGGGGAAATGACAGCATTTTGCTGGAAATTCGAGCACTCAAGAGTCAAGCAGAGCCATGTTTAGGTTGCCCATATAACTTTCTGCTGTGATGAGCACATTACTTCCTTGATGACAATGATGTATTCTTGGAAGCACCTTTTATTTTCTGCTCTCAGCTCTTTCCAGTTGTCTGCATGAGGTGGAGCAGCAGTTCTTACAGAGCTGCTAATGCTGTGTGCTGTTCTGCACTTTCAGTGGTTGAATCAAACTGAGGGACAGCTAAAAATGCACCATATTCCCCACCAGCTCTGCTGGCCTGAGTAAACCTTTGCTGCAGTTACCTGAGGACTGTCATGTAACTAAAATGAGTGATCTGGACGGTCACTCCTGCCCCCAGTGCAGTGAGGGTTGTGCTCCACACCCTGAGGGAGTTCAGTGCCCTGTTAAGGAAACACCTGGTGTGTTTGGTTATGCTGAAATAGCCCCCTGGGCTCAGCACAGATCAGACAAGGTGAAACCACCACTGCCTCCTTTGCAGTCACATTTCCACCTCCTTGAAGGATCAGCTGCTTCCACAGTACAAAAGCAAAAGCACACCTCCAAAGAAAGGCTCCCAAAACCAGAGCCATGTTTGTGCTGGCTTTTACATCCCTAATCCTCCATCACAGGGAGTTTTTTGCCAGTAAAAAGGGGCTAGGGTGACCTCTTTATCCTTCTTACCAACACTGTCATTCCAGCTCAGGCCCTCCTTTTCCTGGGATCCCCCACCCTCCTCACACCACTGACAAGGAGCAGAGGCTTCCTCCCTCGTGCAGCCCTCCCTTTTGAGAAGGGAAACACCAGAGGAAATTCTTCTCCCACAGGCACATCTGATGCCTTGTAAAGGCTGACCTAGAACAGAGACCACACAGAGCTAAAGAACAAAGTAGGGATTTTATTAGGAGGCCTCAATGGACACACCTTGGACAGTGCAATTCAAAATGGTCACAAAATGGATGAGCGGTCACGGGGTCTCACACTTTAATAAGTTTTGGCTTATTTGCATATTGGAGTTAATTGTCCAATTCCAGCTTTAGGCCATGCAGTCCCATCCTTCTTGTTTTTCTCTCTTCAGCCCAAGTTGTTTGTGCCCTTGGGCTGAGATTTGGATCATTTGTCCTTGGTGCCCAGCTGGAGCAGGAATTGTTTTGTCTCCCTGCTCTGTGCAGAGAGCTCACCATCCCCTCATGTGAACCCAGACCCACACACAAAAGCAGCACAGAATCTGAAAAACATAAAATCTAAGACCTGAAGTATCACATTGAACACCAGCACTGGGGCCTCTGAGCAGACCCCAGGCTGAAGCTCTGCTTCCACCACTTGTGTTTGTATCCTCCACTGAAACCTAACTCACCCATGTGAGTCCCACCAGCTGCTTCCAATCTTCTGAACAGGACTGCTCTGTGCTATAAACTTCAGCTTTCCAAACACAAGCATCATCTGTTAAGCCAAAAGCTTTAGATAGGATTGCTGAACACCAGGCTGGGAGTCCAAGCAGCACAGGGCATATCTTCCCTGTGTCAGCAGGCACCTCGTGTATTTTCAGTGCTGTCAGAAACAAACCACTCCCTGATATTCCAGAGGGGGGGGGGGGGGGGAAGTCTTCTAGAAGTGGTGGTGAAGCTAACATTTTAAAAAGACCCTTCCGAGAACTTGCCAGCCTCCTGGGGGAGCTTGTCAACATCTCCCACATTAAATGAAAGCCACTTTAAAATCCACAGGGGTTTTGAAGAAAAGCTGGAACATATCAAAGCTGCTGGGATGGCAAGCTTCACAACGTGCACAATACATCAACACTTACAGGCAGTAAATCCTCCCCAGCCTCAGGGGAGCTCACAGCCCCCCAGAGTAAGCCCTTTCCTAATGTATCTCTCAAATGAGCTGCTAATCTCCTCTCGAAACTTGACAGCTGTCCTGCATGCACTCAAACCCCTCTGTGCTTAAATCCTTCTATCCTTCTGGTTAAGTCACTTGTTAGATCATTTTTGCTTTAATACAAGAAAGAAATCTTTCCTCCAACCCCAAACAAAGGCCTCGCTCACCTGCAGCTGGCACATCCCCAGATTTCGTACATATCTGTGTGTGTGTGTGCATTCCCAGGAGCAATCTTGGACCTTACAAATTCCTGTGGCCAGTGGGAGCTCCCCCACCAGTCTCCCCAGCAGATTTCTCAGACCCCAGCAGATCTGGTGGCTTCCTGTGCTCAGATCAGCCCAAATTTCTGACACAGTTTCTCTCTGGTCTGAGGGAGCAGAAAACTTTCCCCTTGGCTGGGCAGAGTTTGGCCCCTGGTGTTGAATTCCCAGTGCCAACAGCTATTTGTCACTTCTGCTGCAGATGAGAGTTTGCCAGGGTTGCTGTGCAGCCCTGCCACAGGAACTCACATGAGACACCACCACGACAGCTGTGCTCCTACACTGCCCAAGTCCTGACAAGGGCTCCTAAACGGTACTTTGGCACACTCAGAAATAATCCCAGCTTCCAGCTGAGGACAAAGCAGTAGTTTTTCATGCAGTCCTCAGTGTTTCAAACGTAGAACATTTCAAAGCACACCAAAACACCAATCCTTCCTAGATACAGCTGCTTGTCCATTAGCTCTTCTTGACCACATATTTTGTTTACTGCTTGAAACTGAAGAGTTTCACCAAGACATTGATTCATTCCAATGCCAGCAGTGGGATTCCCTGCTCTTGCACCAGCACCATGGCTGGGTGATCCCAATCAGCTGGCACGAACTTGGTGCAAGTCTGACAATGCCTCTGCAGGGACCTGAGTGGAGCTGTTGAGTCTTTGCTCAACACCTGGAACATGCAGGTCCAAGGGCAAAAGTCAGGGCAAAGAAAGTAATGAAATAACTCCTGCAACACCCCCCAAACACTTGGATTGCCAAGGCACGAGAGCTCTGCTGAGCTGATGAGCATCCCCTGTCAAACAGGGGATGCTGTTACTGCAGTGATGGTGACAGGTGTCTATCCTTCACAATATTTTCCCAGTGAGGATATTTTTTTTATGCTGCTCTAGGTTCTTCATCACTCCCTGCATTGGCAGGGAGGGGAACGGGGCCATTTTCCTCTCTGCCTGTAGCTACACACACTGCTACAACAATGATATGAAATTATTCACTCTGCCTCTTAAAGTGTCTACAGAAGATGAGATACAACAATTGCTCCAGGAAGTGATGCTCGACCACTCTGACTGATCACCCTGTGCCCTGTCACCCATCTGTTACCTCTGCCATTCCCTGCTGGCTCCAGTGCAAATCAGACCCTGAAACACTCTGCTGAAGAGGGCAAAGGTCTGCATCACAAAACTGCATCTCAGGGATGAGCTCTGGGCTCAGCCTGACACCCATAACTGTGAAATGTCCCTGCGGTCACCCAGTGCGGAACCGTGTCCCACACAATGTGGTCTGGAACAGAAATTTCTTTGTGAATGTTTTCAGTACTGAAGGGAGTCCCATTTCCCAACTAGAGAATTCATGCTCTGAAACACGGCTTCCAGCCAGCTCTGCTCCCTGCGGCCATCCCTGTTGTTCCCTGGTCCCTGACACATCCATTTCCCAGGCACTTCATGCGGCTGGAGAGGCAGATCCAGCCTCATGGTGCCCCTGGGGAGGTACTCCTGACACCTGAGCTTATGAACCTGCCCATTCCAGATGCAAACAAAACACTTGGAAAGCTGTTTTACCTGCCAGAGGAGCATCTGTTAGACTGACAAATCAGGGCTGTGCACAGGGGAGAGATATTTACTTCTGACACAGCTCCACCCACCCTGCTCAGCCCAGCAACTCTCACCAGAGGCTGGAAATTAATAGGATCTTTGCATTGTCATCTCCTCTTGCCCAAATAGAAAAGTATACCTGATGTTTCCCAAAGGAGGATCCAGTTTCTGGGTGGCCTGACTGGATGGGAACCATCAGGGGCAGCAAAGGGGTCTTGTATCTCCCCACCACAGTCTCTTGTACTGCAGCATGGCACCTGCCCTGCAAGGACTGACCAGAGGGGTGAGGGCTGGGCCACCAAAACCTGGGCTCAGCAGGCCCAGCAGGTGTGTGCTGTGGGACACTGCTGCCTGTCCTGCTGCCCAGGGTGCCTGTCCATCCCCCACTGCACACAGAGCACTCACAGGCACAGCCTTCGTCAGGCCCATCCCTTCCTAGGGCTGAATATTCCAGACTGGCTCCCCATACCTGAGCAGCATCCAGTGAGGGTACATACCTCACCTGAGACCCCAGCCAAACCTTCTCTAATTTAAATAATTAAAATCCACTTCTAACAGGGGTGCAAAGAAGAAATCACCTCTGCCCCACACAACTTTTTGGCACCAATGGGAAGGCACCTGCTGCCCATCTCCATGAGCTTACAAGGCTCGCTGGAGCCTCTTTCCCGGTACAGCGCTGAGCTTGGTCTGTGCCTGTGCCGGGCGCTCGGAGCGGCACCGCTGCTCCCCGCCGCGCCTGTGCCTTGTCGGGTCCGGCCCACACGGGCTGCTCCCGGATCATCCTGCGGCTCCGCTCCCGGTCCCGGTCCCGATGCCGTTCCTGATTCCGGTCCCAGTCCCGGGCGGAACCCCGATCCCGATCCCCATCCCGATACCCATCCCCATCCTAGTCCCGGTCCCGCTTGTGATTCCGATCCCAGTCCCAATCCAGATCCCGATCTCTGTCCCGGTCCCGCTCCTGATTCCGGCACCGGTCCCCATCTCCGTCTCCATGTTCTTCCCGGGTCCCGGTCCCGCCGCACCTGCGGGACCGGAGCGCGCCCCGACAGCGGCCGAGCCACGCCCCCATCGCCGCTCAGCCAATGAGCGCGAGGGAGCTCTGTTCGACAGCCAATGGGAGCGCGGCGGCCTCGCCCCTGCCCCCTACTTGAGGCGCTCCGCGCGGCCGCGCGCTCGCAGAGGCGGCGGGAGCGGAGAGCGGGAGCGGCCCGGGAGCGGACGGCGCGCCCGGCGCTGCCCGCACCGCGCTCGAGGGAGGGGCCGCTCCCATGGAGGCATTCCCGGGCACCAAGCTGGAGCAGCACCGGCACCTCCCGCCCGTGGAGTGCCTGCCGGGCGCCCGCTACGGCGGCCGGAGCCACAGCGCCTGCGGGAACGTCTTCAACTCCTGGAACGACTACCTGGGGCTGGCCACGCTCATCACCAAGGCCGTGCGGCCAGGCAAGGGCTTCGGCCCCGAGCCCCCCTCGGTGGTGGTAGCGGCCGCCGTGCCGCCGGCCGAGGAGGAGGAAGAAGAGGAGGAGGAGGAGGAAGAGGCGGCGGGGCCGTACTTCGAGGGCGCGCTGGACTTGCACGACCTGGACCTGTGCGGGCACCACCACCACCACCACGGCGAGGGGCTGCTGGAGGAGCGCTTCGCCGACTTCAGCCCCTTTCCCGGGCGCGGCGGCCCCGCCGCCGTGGTGTTCGACTGCTCGGGGGAGCACCCGGGCCGGGAGGGCTCTGCCCACGCCTGGGGCGGCGTGGTGGTGGCGGGGCGGCTGCCGGCGCACCCGCGGGCCGCCTCCCGCCTGCTCAAGCCCGAGCTGCAGGTCTGCGTCTTCTGCCGGAACAACAAGGAGGCGGTGGCCCTCTACACCACGCACATCCTCAAGGGACCCGACGGCCGCGTCCTGTGCCCGGTGCTGCGGCGCTACACCTGCCCGCTCTGCGGCGCCAGCGGCGACAATGCCCACACCATCAAGTACTGCCCCCTGTCCAAAGTGCCGGCGGCCCGGCAGCTCCGGCACGCCCGGACCGCGCTGGGCAGGAAGGGCCGCTAGCGGCCGGGACCCCCGGGGCTCGCCCCGCGCCCCCCGACGCTGACACTGCCCCGGCCCGGGGCGGCCGCTGCGCGCTGGAACGCGCGGAGCCCGGCACTGCGAGGCGGAGATGCGCTGTGTTTGTTTATTGTAAGAAAAAAATATATCTATATGTGATTTTTATGGAGACGGCGAGATCTGACTGGGCGGGTGTGCGCGGGGGGCTCCGAGGGTTGAGGCGGGAGGTGGCGGGGGGCCCCGGAGCCCCGATCCCCCGGGCAGCGCCGCCTTCTGCCGCCCGGCCGGCCCCAGCGCCCGGGACAGCGGGCGGGAGAGCTGTTCTGCACTGCCAGCTAATAGCAGGGTGTTTAATTAGGGTACAGCACTCCGCCTTTCAGCTCTTAAAGCGAACATCCCAGCGGTTTCCTTCGCCGGTTCTACAGCCGGTGTGCAAATCGCCATCGAGGCTGCCCTCGGTAATTCCCGGAATCGAGCGGTCACCCTTCCTCCCGTGGGCACCGATGGTCTCGCAGGTCCCCGTGTGGAATACTGAGCTTTAGGGAAGGTCTGAGGGGAGAAAACATCCAAGTGCGTGTTTGAAAACGTGCTGGCTCCGGGCTAGGGTGCAAAGCGAGCCTTGCTGCTGACAGAAAGGCAGAAAGAGTGGCAGTGAGCGAGCTTTGATGCAGCTGTGTTTGTGGTGGAGAACGGGGGAAGCCTGGTGGAAAGAGACCTGGACAAAGCAGAAAGCTGTGACCGTAGGAGAATGGAAGAAAGGGAGGTTGTTTATCTTCGACAGTTCAGAGAATGTGGCTTTAACTCTCTGCAAGTAAAAGAGATCTACCCATGTGGATAACAAATATCCTTAACTCTACACAGACTGTACAAAGCATAAGAATTAGGCTGAAGTCCTGGACCACTCTGGGTGATGGCAGTTCCTTGGTACTGAATATCAGCCAGCACTATGTCACTTCTAATCCCCAAGAGAAAATGGCTTTTAAAATTTTTTTTTATCTGTTTGTTGTTGTTTTGGGTTTTTTGTTTGTTTTTAGGGTTTTTGTTGTTCTTTTGGCTTGGGTTTTTTTTTTTTTTGTTACCCAGAGGTAGGACAAGGAGCAGCAGCAGTTTGGAGTTTAAGAGTGCTCTGGAGCAGAAAGATGGGTGCTGGAGTTTTCAGGGCAGAGGCTCACACTGCTGTGTGGCTTTGCCAACACCTGAGATGGGGAGGGATGCTCAGTCCACCCTGACAAGAGCAGGGAGGTGAAGAGAGGCTTGTGGAGGAGCTGCTGGGAAATCACCAGGAAGATGAGAAAGGAGATAGGTCCTGACAGAAAAAGGGAACTAGGAAAGTGAAGAGTAGTCCACGCTTGTGTGGTTTCCTTTTGAAAAGCTGCTTAGCAGGGTGGCAGATGGGGTCAGGAGAGCAGGACGTCAAGAATGGAGTCAAAACGTGTGGGATGGGTTGTGGATGAGGACCCAGGGTTCATTAGTCACTGCTACTGACTCCCAGCCACAGCAATTAGGAGGGAGAATCTGATTTTGCGTGGAAGTGTTCCCTTAAATCTCCATCAGATGGCTCCAGAGATGGTGTCAGGTCTAATTATCAAATGCAGTGGGGTTTGCATTAAATAACACTCCGTGGCTGCAGCTATCCTTGTGCTAAACACGTTACATTTTGTCTCTTGCTCTACGGGGAGTGCACCACAGGCTCTTGTAAGCTGTTAAAGTTAGATGTGTTTGGTTTTGTGATTCCTGGTCCACGTAGGTTTAATCTGTGTCATTAGAACTGAGCTCCAGTGTGATGTTGTGAGAAGAGTTTTCTTCTGTACTTTTGTTACCTCCTTGTGGGAAGTTTGAAGATCCTTATATACATTTTAATGCAGTTGACTGTTACTGGACACAAAAGCAAGAAAGATCAAAGAAAATCTGTCTCGGGTGTTTTCTGAGGGTTGACTGGGGCTGGATTGGAGGTGTTTGCCATGTCCCTGCCCCACCTCTGCTCTTTCCATTGAGCTGCTGTGCAGTACCAGCCCTACAGCTACGCCTGAAATCCCTCAGGATAACAGAATTCTGTGTCCTGGATGGCACCGGCCTTCTGCAGAGCCTGTGGAAGAGGAAAACTTGTGTCCACAGCCTGTAGCTCCTGGTTCTGTTCTCCAGGGAGCTGCAGCCTTGCTCTGGAAAGGCCAGGAGCTGCCTGGCCTCACTGCTGCCCAGCACTGGGCATCTCATCAAAGGCTTAACAGGTAAAGTGGAAGAGTAACAGCTTCAAGACCAGTTGGGGGTGGGGGAGGTAAAAAAAACAAAACAGCAAACCTCAGAGTACTGCAGAAAGATGACAGGATTCAGCAAAAGCCAGGCTGACAGCAAGGCTCTTCAGTTACTTTATGTAATCGTTCAACAGGACAATTTGCTCTTTAAAGATTTACAAGTCTGAGTCTAACAAAAACTAAACCTTAAAGGATTTTTGGATTGGTTTTTTGAAGTAAGCTCTTGTGATTTCTGGCATTACCAGCACACTCCTTGTGGCACTGAGTGAGCAGAAACATGCTTGTTCTTGGTCACTCTGAAAAGGTTATTACAACAGACATTGTTTGTGTTGCTACTTTGACTCCTTAAATGCAGGGAACTGTTTGCATTAGTAATTTAAATTCTAGGAACAGCAAAGAGCTTAATCTCAAATCTGTGAAAAGTGGGACACTATTTTCACTCTTCTGCAAGCATTTGCAAATCAAAATATTATGGTCACCTGTTTAAACTTGTGCATGTAAGTCATGGAATCTTTTCTATAGTGATAGTCTGCCAAGAGGAGTGAACACAATATTGGACAATCATCCTCAGCTGGGTGCTAGTCTTGGCAAAAAGCCAGCTACTTTTAATTAGAAACTACTTTCAGCTGTATAGGAAACCTGATTCAGCTGAAGTCAGGTAAGTCTGTGCCCATCTTCAGTGGAAATTCTGTTTGGGCAGGTTGCTGTCAGTCTGCTGACCAGTGCCTCAGGTAGATGCCACAGGACCAAACCACAACAGCTATAAAATGTCTTTTTTTTTTTTGCAGTGCCAGTTTTTTCCACCAGATGTATAGATTGAGTTTTACTGGAGATGAGTTGCTAAGAGTTGCATGGGGAGGAAGATACAATTCTAAAATGCCTGTTTTCTGTACAAAACAAGTGATTACTAAAAATGGAACAAGGCTTAGCAAAGCCTCCTGCCCAAGAGAGAAAGGGCTAACAGAACTTAAAGTGCAGCAGTGGGAGGGTTTGATTACCAAACTGCAGTGGAATAGTTTGTAGAATCTCCATTCTACTGTAATTAAATGCATTAAATTTATTTAAGAGGAGGACCAGACAAAGTGTAGAGCATTTCAGCTGCAGCTGATCCTGCCATGGCAAAAAAGGGAAGAATTGGCTGTTTTTGTTACACCACTTGAGTGCCTACTTCTTGCAGTGCTGCAGTAACCCACAAGATGGGCACTAGTGCCTGAATGAGAGGTACTTTTTGGATCTTGCATTTCACTGACCTAATGCCTTCCCTTGGTAGGCTGGCACCATTCAGCAGTACCCTTTAGCCACAGGAGGAAAACTTGCTTACATGCAGCAGCTCCTGCCAGTGACAGCAGCCCAAGGACAGGGAAATGACACAGATATCTTCCATTTACAGCAAGACAAGCCTTGCAGTACTCTTGGTGTCTGAGATCCTCCTGGCTGCCCACCAGCCCACCCCAACGTCCTCCTGGCCTCACTGAGCTCACCAAAATCATGACGTGTCCTGGGCTGCAGTTGTGGCTGTGCCCAGACAGGAGTAACACCACAGCACCCTGACAGTTCTCATAAATATGGATTTTGTTAAAAAATATCAGTGTTTATAGGTAAAGAACTCTAGAGAAAGCTTGAATATAATGCTAACTAAGCCCCCCTTCTGCTGAGGACCCTGATGGCCCTCAGTCCTGCCCATGGGCTGGGTCAGTGTCTGGACTGCTCCTGGAGCAGGAAGGAGACAGCACTTTTCATACCTGACACTGCCTTGCTGGAGATTTAATCCAGCAACATTTGCATCCATTCAAAGAGCAGCAGCCTCAAGTTCTGCCTTCTAAATACAGCCTGTGACAGTTTGTATTCTTCTAAGGTCCACTGAAAAATTTAGCTGTTTAACAGAATGTGACTCAAACAAGGCAAAGACTGACACAGAACTCATTTGGCAACATTTTCAGGTAACCAAATTTTGTGTTCATGTTTAATGGTGGAGATGGAGGTTTGAGCTGTTGGATTTGGTCAGCAGAAGTTTTTGATCACTGCCAGTATTGTGTCTGACAGATCAAGGAATAAAATAAACACACTGGCATGCCTGCAAAGCTCACATCTCCCCCAGCCTCTTCTCAAGCTGCCCAGTCTTGAGAATGTAACACTCACTGACAACATGACCACAATCTCAAATAATGCAAATTAATAACACAGACTGGGAAACACCTTTTGCTGGTGCAGGGATGACTAACACTCATCCTGGTGTGAAAGTGTCTTTGTGTGGATACAATTAAAACTGCAACTGAAGGTATAATCACTATTTACATATTACAAGGCTGGAGAAAGGCAAATGTTGTGCCTGTCATTGATAACAGGCTGAAAGGACCATCTGAGAAAGCACAGGCCAGATGGTATCACTTCAGTTCCTGGGAGAATCAGAGGAAATCCTTCCAGAACATCTTTTTGGGGACATGCAGAAGTCAGCTGGGAACAGCCAGAATGGAATTACTGAGGGTAAGCCATGCCTGGCTCACCTGCCTTCTATAATAAAACATCTTTGTGGACAAGGGAAGGAGCACTGGATGTTTTTCATCTCAGCTTTGACAAGGCTTTCAGCACTGTCTCACACACTATCCTTGCACCCAGCTCAGCATGCTGCAGCCCACATAACAAAGGGGGCAGAAAAACTGGCCGGATGTCCAGGCTCAGCACCATGGGCAGGGGGCTGGGCTGGAGGCAGCCACAGGATGACACTGAAGTGGAATCCCAGCCCAGACACCAGGGCTGCTGGCCAGAGGGATGGACAGGAGCCTGCTGAACTCAACAGGGAGCAGGGCATGGGCCTGCCCAGCCAAGGAAGGAGCCCTGCAGGAGCAGGCTGGGCTCAAACAGCTCTGGGCCCTGGCAGGGGAAAAGCAGAGCCCAGGCTGCTCCAGCTGGGCACTGAACTGTTTGGGCCTGGATCCCAGCCTAGAGAAGGGAAGTGTCCCCCTGAGTTCACCTCATCTTTCCTGTGTGCTCTTTGGGGTTCCATTTCCCCCAGTTTTGAGTTCAGCAGAGGACCAACACATTGTCCAGGGGCTGGAGCACATGCCTGGGAGGAAAGGCTGAGGGGACAGGGCTTGTTCAGCCTGGAAAAAGGAAGGGTTTTAGGGGAGACCTCACAGCAGTAACTCATTTCCTACTAGGAAGTTACCTGGAAAATTCCAGCTTTCCACAGTAGCACACAGTGAGCAGAGACACACAGGGCAGAAGCCAAGACAGGTTCAAACCTTTTGAGGGCCACAAAAATGACCAGAGAGCTGGAGCGCCTCCCCTGTGAGGAAAGCCTGAGAGCTGGGGTTTTTCAGCCTGGAGAACAGAAGGTTCCACAGAGCCCTAACTGTGGCCTTCGAAGGGGGGGCTGTAAGAATGATGGGGACAGATTTTTTGTCAGATTTTGTTGTGATAGGAAAAGGGGTAATGGTTATAAACTGAAGGATGGTTGATTCAGATTAGATACAAGAGGTTTTTCAACAATGAGGGTGGAAATCACTGGCACAGATTGCCCAGAGAAAGGGTGGATGCCCCATCCCTGTAAACATTCAAGCCCTGAGCAATGTGACCTAGCTGATGTCCCTACTCAATGCAGCTACACTGATTTTTCACTCTGGAGCCAGTCAAGCATTCAAAGGGGCTTCCCAGAACACCTGTGCAGTCCTCAGTCTTGGAGATCTTCAAAACCACACTGGACAAACACAGTTCTAAGTACCACAGGAATTTCACAGCCAGCAGTGGAGCGAGCTCCTGGGTCCCCTTTAGCAGCATCCAGTGACACAAA